AAACCATATTAAACCATATTAAACCATATTAAACCATATTAAACCATATTAAACCATATTAAACCATATTAAACCATATATAGGGTAGGTTTCTCCCACCAACCACTAACCATAATTTCGTCTGTTTTTCGTGCCACTTTCATGGGATCCACGGATCCGATCCATCCGCCGGCTCCGTGGCTCCGTGCGGAAGGTGATTCTGCAGCGATTTTGCAGGAGAAGTCGAGGAATGCTGAAGAGCAGGTCCTGCGGGGTGATGACCAACGTTGTTTGCTATTGAAAATGGTCATGTATGGATAGTCATACAGTCAGTGCCAGAATTATAGAACGGAGCGAAGAGGACAAAAGTACGGTAAAATACCGTACCTTTGTCCTCTTCCGGGTTCGAACCTGGAGCGGAGTCGGAAAATTTAATTATAGAACGGGGAAGAGGACAAAGGTACGGTAAAATACCGTACCTTTGTCCTCCTGGCTCCGTTCTATAATTCCTGGCACTGACATAAAATGAGGATAAAATGAGGAAATGATGAGGAAATGATAATAAAACGCGGATAAAATGAGGATTTAATGGGGATTTGATGAGGAAATGAGGATAAAATGCATATTTAATGAGGATTTAATGAGGATAGAACGACGAAAAAGGTTAGGAGTAAATTCAGATACCATTTTTTTTCATACCTTCCGAGGAAAACAGAATTATAGAACAACAGGGTACGGTAAATAACCGTACCTTCGTACTCCTCAACTTCCGTTCTATAATTCTGTTTTCCCCCATTTTTCCCACATTTACCAGGTGATTTTCTCAGATTTCATGGTGATTTTATAGGAATTCATAGTGGTTTTATGGGATTTCATGGTGGTTTTATGGGATTTCACGGTGATTTTCTTAGATTTCATGGTGATTTTGTAGGATTTCTGGGACCCCGGAAGAGGTTCTATAATTCTATAATTAATTTTTCCGTTCTATAATTAATTTTTCCGTTCGACGGAAAAATTAATTATAGAACGGGGCCCGGGAAACATTAATTATAGAACGAAAATGGGAAATGTGAGAAAAATGGGGGACAACAGAATTATAGAACAACAGCGCTCCGACAAGAATTATAGAACGACGAAAAAGGTTAGGAGTAAATTCAGATACATTTTTTCTCATACCTTCCGAGGAAAACAGAATTATAGAACAACAGGGTACGGTAAATAACCGTACCTTCGTACTCCTCAACTTCCGTTCTATAATTCTGTTTTCCCCCATTTTTCCCACATTTACCAGGTGATTTTCTCAGATTTCATGGTGATTTTATAGGAATTCATAGTGGTTTTATGGGATTTCATGGTGATTTTATGGGATTTCACGGTGATTTTCTTAGATTTCATGGTGATTTTGTAGGATTTCTGGGACCCCGGAAGAGGTTCTATAATTCCATAATTAATTTGTCCGTTCTATAATTAATTTTTCCGTTCGACGGAAAAATTAATTATAGAACGGGGCCCGGGAAACATTAATTATAGAACGAAAATGGGAAATGTGAGAAAAATGGGGGAAAACAGAATTATAGAACAGCAGCGCTCCGACAAGAATTATAGAACGACGCAAAAAATTAAGAGGAAGATCAGATACATTTTTTTTTCACACCTTCCGAGGAAAACAGAATTATGGAACAACAGGGTACGGTAAATAACCGTACCTTCGTCCTCTTCCAATTCCGTTCTATAATTCCGGCACTGACCATAGTCAGTTATAGTTGATTTACCTATAAATATCTATAAATATAACTATGAATTAAAAGATAATCAATATATTGGACTATAATCATAGGTATATTTGCTATTTATCAATATGGTGATTGTCCATAGTTATGGTAGCTTACCATAGTTTACCGTGTATCACAAATTCCATATCCATTCCCGGGAGAAGCTGTGCGTTTAGTATCGGATCTCTTCAATTTGGGTACGATATTGAGGGGCCATGATCGGGGGATGTGTGCTTTTTTTGAGTTGAAACCAGCGACCCGTCTAAATGTCATTCAGTATCTAGATTCTGATCGTATGTACTACCATTCATAATCGTTAACCGTTAACAATGAATGCACCATTAAATCTCATTTTGTGTGAGTTAAAATCACCATGAAACCATAGAGACCATAGAAAAAAACACATTCAAACCACTCTTCTCGCAATATGTACACCATGATCACCAGTTATCCATTATTATACGTAACCATTCATTATTCATAATTCCTACGATGTGGGCCCCCCCAGTTATAAGATGGTTTATAAACCCCATTAACTATAGTTATAGGTACCATAAACCATATAGTTATTGGAGTTATGTTCACCAACTGAACGCTATCGTTTGGGGGCCCCACTTTGTAGCATCCCTATAGCATTCCCAGTTCCGTTTCTCGCTCCGAACTTACGGCGAACTTGGCTCAGATCCGACAAAGTGGTGGGGCCAGTGCCATCGGGCAAAGGACCGATGGATTGATGTTGGGTTGATGTGGAGCAGCCAGAAGAATCCACTGGTTGGGCCATAGAATGGTGGTACCCTCTGGTTATTTAACATAGCCATGGAAAATGGCCCATTTATAGATGGTTTACCTGGGTTTACCTATTAAAAATGGTGATTTTCCATGGCTATGTTAAATAACCAGAGGGTAAATGTTGGTAAATATATTCTATACATATTAGGGTCATATATGAAATTTATCTGGTTGGTGGTGACTGGAACCATGGAATTTTGAATGACTTTCCATGTCTTGCGAATGTCATATCCCAACTGACGAACTCCATGATTTTTCAGAGGGGTAGGTATACCACCAACCAGACAAGCATAGGACCGTTCACCAATAAAAGATGTCCATAGATGCATTTTGACAGACCATTTTGATGGAGGGGTTTCTTAAGACGGTGGATCCAAGACTAACCTCTTTAATATGATGTCTTGTTTCTCAAAATGGGGAATATGGTGTCTTCATTTCTTGTTTCTTAAAACCATAATGTAGGTTTCAATACTAAGTCATGGTCTAATGACTTGGATGATTTGGGGTACCATCATTTTAGGACCCCATATGGCTCAAAAATGGGTGGTAGGGAACCCATGAAACTGGAGCAACCAATATCTCTTCGAATATAGTTAAGCAAACCATCCAATCTTTGGGTCAATGCAAAAAGCAAACATCAACTGCAGGCAAGTGCGAACGGATGCCATTTTGATGGGATTGACACCTATCTAAACCAGCCTTTTTTCGGGTATGGCTGGATTTTGAATGATTTTGATCCCCAGGACTGCTACATTTCTGGCGATACTGAGCACTCTGGCCGCTCTGTATGATTACCTGTCGATGCTGAACTACTCCGTCCACTTGACGCCGGTTTGCCTGTTGGGACCCTCGGTGTGGCTGTGGCTAAATCAATGGCGACTAACCAGACGTGATCTTCCCTATGACATCTTTACTCTTGCGGTTATACCTATTTGAGCCATTTGGGTATGAGGTTATGGATGTGTCCAAGTTCGGCGAAGGAGCCCCAAGCAGGCTGAATTCATTGGATGAAAAGAATATCTACAGGACGCCGGATTTTTTGCATGAAAAGTATCGGGAAGACTGCAGATTTTTCTTCATCCAATTCTGGAAATGCTTCTCCATGACTTTTCGGGTGAGATTTCCTAGTGATCAGCTGAGGTTCAAAGTGAAGGGTTGCTCATGGAAGATCCCCAACTCGAAGCCTGGAGCCGGGGGAGTGAGAGTTGACCTGCAAGTTGGTTAGTTCGCTGAGTTTTTTCCCAGGGAGCCATCAAACTAAGGATCTGCGACTCGTAATTTGGGGAGACCAGGAGGAAACTAGGAGAGCGAAGCGACAATATCACTGGATGATTCTCCTGGTCCTATCTCCTTCTGATTTCTGGTGAAGGAAATGCAGGGAAATCATCTCCAACCCCCAGGTTCCATGGGAAGAAGAGTCGCATCGAGCACCTGGATGGCACCTTTTGGGCGTATTCGGACAAGGGGTTTTGTCCAAAAAATCATGGAGAAACACATGAAACGGGTTTGAAACCCAGTGGTTCAATATGGTTTTTCATGGTTTATCATGGTTTATTCATCGTTATCATCGTTTTTCCCCATGAAACTGGCAACTTTTTGGAGGCACACCATGATTTTTGAGCAAATCTATGGTGTGATTGTTGCACCAAGTGATGGCTCATGTCGGCATGGTTTTTCAAATTTCTCCCCAGTGGGTCATCGAGTGTGTTGTAGTCTCAAATTGGTTGGCTCGTGTTGTTTTTCCCAAAAATGCAAGTATGTTGCCTTTCATCTACTATGACATATATTGGGATCGAGTTGAAGCTATTTTTTAATGATCTGGTAGGCAAGATTTGGGTTGGTGTAATCGGTTTTAATACACGCCTCCAGCATATATCGCGCATGCTTGCAAATGGCTTTAAAGATCTTCAAAGTACTTCGATCGTTAGTCAAGCCTAAGTTCAAAGCATATTCTGCCTTTAATCACTTGGAGAATCGCCTTTCTCTTCCCCAGAATAGCCACTGCATTGGGGAATGTGAATGAATTATACAATAGATATAAGATGATATAAGTTAACTACATTCAAGAACAGTCATGAATGAGCTCATTTTTCACGTTTCGATGTTTGGTTGGCTTCCATGATCCATCCATCTCCGCAGCTTAGGGGTGCCCTACTTCCCTGGGATCCTGCGGCTGCGAACTGTCACTGGGATCATTGGAATTAAACATGGGAAAATTCGTGGTGAAATTACCCTCTGGTAATTTAGCGTAGCAATTGAAAATGGCCATTTATAGTGAGTTTTCCTATTAAAAATGGTGATTTTCCATGGCTATGTTAAATAACCAGAGGGTACATGATAAAATATCAAAACATGATAAAACATGTGGTAAAAACATGGTGAAACAAGTTGATTAACATATTTTTTTTCCTATGGAAAGAAAGATGAGATAAATTAGTGGGGATCTAGTGGGAGATATGTTCACAATATGGTGTTTTTGATCATGAAAATGGGATGAAGCCCGGTCTGACTTTCGCAGACGTTTCAGTGGAGTTGAAAGATTTGAAAGCACCAACCAGGAAACTTATTCGTTAATATTCGTTATATAATGGTCACAGTTTTCTCTTTCCCATGACGGATCCATGGTGCTGCTATATATTATGTGCCATGGATCCCATCAATATACCCCCAATCAATGTTAGCATATAATATATATACCAGCACCATGGATCCTATGGGTTTTGTTGTTTAAGTTAAATTTGTGACTCATCCATGTTCACGAATTCTAGGTGATTCCGACAACAACTTCTGCGACTTCTACCTCCAGCCCTCCGACTTCTGCAGTTCCTGCACTGAAGAGATGGGGATGAACCCAAAAGAGTTATTTTATAATTATATAACTCGCATTTCTGAAGACAGAACGGTTATGGTAGATATTTCTGTAGTCGATGAGGGGTATTTTACTTACAAACTACAGTAACATTTTTAACTGGCACGAGTGACTGTATGGCTGCGGGTCAAAATTGTCCCAAAAGCAATTGTTGATATCAAAAACCAATGACAAAGATATGCAATCTCATGGGTCTGATGTGTCGATCGATAAAAAAACTGGTTGACTGAGAAACCCTGGGGCGCACCTGCAACGTGCAGTATGTTTTTTTTGGGCGGAACTGAGCAACATGAGTTCATTCTATACTCAATGTGTTTTTTTTTTTTTCTGCACTCTTGGATGGATGGGTACTTGAACCAATATATTATATACTTTCACCATCTTGAATATTTTCTTCAGATGAGGTTATTTCCTAAGAGCTAAAATTGGCTATCAAAGAATACATTTTTTTTGCAGGGTATCTAAGTTTATTTGAGGTGACTTTTGTTATCCCAAGGCGAAGCATACCGGGGAGTCTATGGGGAATACATTTTTTGGGGGGTGGACCATTCAGCAAATCCAACTTGAAGCTAATGTCTCGCATGATACAAAGCATGCAGCATGACAGAGCCAAACAAAAATGCAACGAGCATGGGTCACAGCATGTGACATTGCTGGAGACTGCCATATGGTTGCTTATATATCCGATCATTGAATCGGCATAAATATCCTCAAGTTTTTTTTAAATATCTATGTCCCCAACGAAATCATTAAAACACCACCTTGATCCACCTTGCAAAGCCAAGTTTAGTACTGGATCTATTCATTTTGGGCGACCATGATTTTCGCGAGCAGTTTGGGGAGATGTCCAGGTCCTGAGAATCGCGAGTATGTCAAGGAGTCTGTGACCTTAACGCGCTGCACCCCAGCATTGGGCAGGAGATCCATCAGCGTGACGACTACTGCAGCGTGACCCACAGAGCACGCATATATATATATATATTTATGGAGATTGAAAGTTTAGGCATGTCAAGCCTGAAGACTTTCTTTTGTTTATTCCTTGCCAGAACTTCAATTATCAGCGCTTGAGATTGGTGCCATGTTCAGAGTTTGACCCGACCCCAGGGACCCCAGTGACCCATCGAGGTGCGAGAAGTTGCCAAGTTTCTTTGCGTCCCTCAAGCCACGGCCCCAAACCAGAGTTGAAGAAGGGCTTCTTCAGCCGGATGAAGCACTTGGAAATTCTAATTAACTATTATGAATTATATATATATATATAATAATAGAAGATTTACAAGAATATAACTATTATTAATTAACCTAATTATATATACCCATGACGGATCCATGGTGCTGCTATATATGGTGCTCCATGGATCCCATCAATATACCCCCAATCAATGTTAGCATCAATATACCAGCACCATGGATCCGTCATGGGATATTTATATTGGTTAGAAGATTTACAAGAAGAGATCCCAAAACTTGGTACGCAGACCATGCCTGTTTCCTTTGTTCATCTAGGCCAGAGCACTTGTTCGAGGGTGGAATCTCAAAGCAGGCTGCGGGTCGATTTCGTTCGGGATTCGCGATTGTTGTTTGATGTATGTTCATACGCTGAAAAGTTGGATGGGTACTCGAAATTACTAGAATGCTATGAATGGGAACATGTACTCACCAGCTATTTTTTTTTCTATCTAAGATTGGCCATGCGGCACGGTATTTTCAGTCCTGCAGATGTTTGAAAGCCAATCCATGATGAATGGTACGAATGGTACCAGGCCCTCTGGGTGTGTTGGCCATCCTAACGGGTGATTCAACCATAGTCATAGTGCTGTAACTGGGTTGACGCTGTGCTGTGCAGACATTCTGCATGAAACTCTGGGATTTACTATGACATTTGCGCCCAAAGTAAGAGGCTTGCGAAAAACATGTCCCTTCAATTCCAGGTTGCATTCAAATCATGTACCAAGCTAAGATGTTGGTCATTTGATAAATATTGATAATCATAGATGACACTAGAGAATCATATAGAGAATAAGATCATAGTTACAGTAGACATAGATAGACCATCATTCACCAATCCTAACATCAATTCTGGCCGCCGGGAGGATGTGAAGTATGTCGTGCAGAAGGGCTTTGATGTGGAGGGTGTGCCTACCCCAAGCACCTTGGACGAAGCCGGGAAGTTCGTCATGAAGAATGGGAAGCAGTTAGGCAACCATGTCATGGGGATATGATGGGAACTCTCTGGTAAACTAGCAGTTTGCGAACTGGAACATCACCATTTTTACGATGTAAATCAACGAATGAAAAAACTGGCAATTTTCAATAGCAAACTGTTGGGTTGCCAGAGGGTCATGGGATAGAATGGGATAGCATGGATGATGGTATCTGGATAATAGTGACCTCACTGGACGTCACTGGAATCATGGGGGAAATCGTAAATTCGCCAGACTGGTTGGGGGTTTGGACCATGAATGGATTATGACTTTCCATTGGGAATGTCATCATCCCGACTGATGAACTCATATTTTTTTGTATATTGTTCAGAGGGGTAGGTATACCACCAACCAGCTATTAAAAAACTATGTTTTCAAGATGTTTCCTGGATGATTTGTTCCAGTTTCTTGGATGATTTGTTCCAATTTCTTGGACGATTTGCTGCGCGGGATCTTTTTAATGCCCCTTTTTCGGAAGCCTCGCAGCGTGCTATTTTTTTGATCTCAGGAAATCCCTTTGGCGGAAACGTCCACATTATGACGGGCCTGGTGCTCAAGAGGAGCTAATTCCATTCCAGATTGGCTCAGAAAACAGACCCGAAGCGAATGATCCCACTGTAGTGTTATCATATACTATAACATTTCTATCTATATGTAACAATAAATAACAATATTATGTATATATATAATATATAATATATCCAAACATAGCTATAACATGTTATAAACCACATATTTCCCATCCCCTTTGAATTTCCCATGCTATTTCCATGGGGGTATCCGCAGGATTGGTAGCCACGGCTCCTACGCCAATGCGCAACTCGCCAAGCGCTTGAAGATCGACTTCAATCAGGTGCAAAAATGGGCAAAAAACCTGTCATGGCCTGGTTTTCTTTAAATGTTTACCCTCTGGTAAACTAATGGAGGTTTAATGGGTGTTTACTATGGTTTAATATGGTTTTATAGGGATGATTTGCTGGGATAATACTGGGATATTGATGGTTATACCCTCTGGTAAACTAACAGTTTGCTATGGAAAATGGCCCAAATGGCCCATTTAGTTCGTGAATTTTCCCATGAAAAAGGGTGGATCTTTCCATAGTTATGTTAGTTTACCAGAGGGTAATGGCAAATCATCAAGTCACCACTGGGGAAAAGTCGTGGTTTAAACTTTGAATAGCAGACTTGTTTTTTTTAATGTTTTACTGATTTCCACTGGTTGTAATTTATAGTCTAATTTGACTTGGAGGATTTCTATAGGATAGCCCTATTAAAATGGAAAGCAGCAATTTGTTGGGACGATAACTGGTGAATTTTCGTCCTGCAGTGCATCGGACAGTCATCAAGATTGCATCAAGATTTCACCAATGGAACCGATGCGTCTGCAGAAAATGTGCCTTTCAGAGCCGCAGTTTGAGTTTGTGATTTTGGAGCTTTGAACGTTGCGTAGCTAGTGATCTCCCCAACTTCTGTGCGACTTGTGGCGGCAAAATGACATCATCCATAGCTCGTGGTTGTTGGGGTGGGAAGCTCCTCTGGTTGATGTAACTGGGATGAGCGCCATGCAACAGGAAGGACCACCCTGACATCCAATTCCAATGGATTTGAGACTTAACAATGGCCATTTCAGGATCCTAAAATTGAGGATATGGCCATTGATTTGGATATGTATCATTTTCTCATTTCTGGATATTTCTGGTATACCTCATTTTCAGACCCATAGACGTCGATCTGTTCAACAACTGTGGGAGACAATCATATCCAGTTTATCATTACCAATTGAAACAACTATGCCAAAAAGCGCAATCAATAGTAGGACAACAGTCTACCATACTGTACAGACTAGTTTAAAGACAGGATATGCCGAGACATTGCAAATTGAACCCAACATGGCCAATTGAAAAAAATAACGTGGATTGGTTTCAGGGAAACAGTTACAGGCAAAACCCATATAATTCATAGTAAAAGCCATGGTTTTCTGTAGATTTTCTCTTGAACCAATCCATTGAAATAAGGAAATGATGAGTAACCACTGGGATTTCTGGTGATTCCAGAGCCAGGTGCAAGCGGAATGTGAATCTGGCCCGCCAGAGATCTCAGGGGAGGGGAGATGAATTCAGGGATCCGGGTGGGTCTCAATCTTCACAATGTGGGCTTGTCTGAGAATAGGGTATATCCCCAAATAGCCAATCTAAATAGGGATGATGATGACTAACAAATGGATTCAGAGCTTCCAAATTTTGAGACAAACCAATGTTTTGATGGTTCAAAGAGAAGCATTTTTCTTGGGGAACTTTCGAAAGTACCTTAAAATGTGGCTATCCAATTGACCATAGCCATCCCAGAACTGAAATTGGATCATTGGGCTGCACAAACATGGAGAGTCAATACCCCATAGGATCCATGGTGCTGCTATATATGATAACATAAAGGGGGTATATTGATGGGATCCATGTTACCATATATAGCAGCACCATGGATCCTACTGTATGGGTACTAGAATGATCAACACATACCAAGATCAGTGGCTTCGAACAGGCTTCGATTTTGAGCAATGATTCACCGAGACTGTCCGTGTGACACCAGGGGGAGTTATCCAAGGAGATGCCCCAAACATGATGTTTGTTGGTTTACAATCCCATCTATATAGCTATATAGTTGATCTATAAATACGAAATTTATCTTTGTATAGATATCGATGGGGTTATGTTTATATTAAAAAAAACTAGATTCATTTATATCTATACAAAGATAAATACACAATAAAGCCCAGTTGATCTAGTTATATCCACCAACTTAGCGATCGCCATCAGCAACAGCGGTGACTCCACAAAAATGGTGAAACGGTGGCGCGTAACGGTGGCGCGTTGAAGGCCAGCCATGGTGCCAGCTGATATCACCTGATCTTGACCATTTTTATTGGGAATATCACTGAAATCTAAATTACATCAAAAATGACAGTGTTCTTCACTGAAATCTTTAGTAAATTACATCAAAAATGACAGTGTGCTTCACTGAAATCTTTGGTAAATTACATCAAAAATGACTCTGTTCTTTCTTGGTTGTTCATAGAAACTATACGGTTCTTTTCCCCACGGGTTCTTTACGTGGAGTGATGTTTTAATGCTGATTGATGCTGATTTACATAGAAAAAATCAGCAATTCACGGTGGCTTTCTCGATGAGGACGGCTGCGCTGCCCATAGCACCTTGGCGAAAAGTTCGGCACAGCTTGCTGTCCCCCGATGATGCCTTGTTGATGGGATGAGAAAATAGGCTATTCATCTTCAGGGCCTGGTTTTGGGAACTTGGAGACGTGGGTGTTCGAACCTAAGTTCCAGATTTCTCTAGTAACTAGCCAAATTGAATTATTTGAGGACTGCAAGTGGAGGTTGGATGAGGGGCCCCAAATTTCCGAACACTTTACTGAGTGGAAGGCAACGGTCCATACTCACAGCTATCACCTGGGAGATTTCTTGGACGAAGTTCCAGACTTCCAGGACCTGTCCAGTTTAGCCATGGCTATCCACATTCGGCTGGGGCAATCTCCGATGTTTCTCCCATGTGTTTAACGCAATCTCCTACTTCGTAGCTCCGAAGCGCTCCCCATTTTTTCTAATATGGATAGCCAGAGCTCCGGATCGCTCCATACCGTTCACCCCTGGATAGTCAAACCACTGCTTGATTTCCCATTTAATGATCAATGCTTTCCCGAGCTATAACGCTTCATTGATCGATGTTTTTTTCCCATATGTTTCCCATATGTTTCCCATATGTTCCTTCACCCCGGTTGATAGATTCATGTCATATGCCATTGATATTCCATCAATAGTTCCATCTACACCCTATTTATTTTCTATTTATCATGTATACTGTATAGCTATATATCTCTTAATTATTTATTTTCTATTCACCATAGCTATAGCTATCTATATCCTATTTATATTCTATTCACCATATAGCTACACGACACCCGTTCTGTCCGGAGTTCTGGTCCTTCGAGGACCTCGAAGAGGAGCCAGAAGTGGAGCCGCTCTATGGCGACGACTGCGCCTTGGAACTTACGCGATGTTGGGACGGGGATCTGCTTCGAGAGAAGTTAGAACTTATAGAATGTGGGTAAAACAACAGACCATCCCCAAGTCACCACCATTTTTATAGGGATTTCAATCATTGTCATGGGTGGTTTATGACATTGTCTTACACACGTTATAGAATATAATATGATAGAGACTAGATAGTCGAAAAATATCAAAAAATGTAGACTGATATTATTTTTATGATCAATATATGAACTATGAAAAATGACGGATGTTTTGACATAGATGATTATTCGTGACAATTGTAAAGAAAGAAATAAAGACAGAAAGAAAGAAAGAAAGAAAAAAAGAAAGAAAGAACGAAAGAAAGAAAGAACAATAGAATACCTTACATATCCACATAATAGCTTTAGACTATTGGAAAGAACAACATGTGGATCGATAGCCAGATATATAGATTGTCAGATAGATGGTCAGATAGACAATCAGATAGTCAACAGCTGGGTTTGGCGCACTCAGTACATTTTGCGATTCATTTCTTTTGGGTTGTTTTTTTTATGGAGCTCCAGTTGATGAAAGCCCTTGTGATACCCTCTGGTAACTTGTCACATGCAGTTTGCGACATGGCTTAGCCATGGCCATTGATTTATAGTTGATTTTCCCATGAATAGCATACCCTCTGGTAAACTAACATAGCTATTGAAAATGGCAATTTATAGTTGATTTACCCATGAAAAATGGTGGATCTTTCCATAGTTATGTAAACGTTTACCAGAGGGTGGTGGTAAACATTTCCAGTTCGTTATGTTAGCCCATTGACCAGGCCGGGTAGGTCAGGATCCATTTCACCGATCCACTGGAGACTGCCAACTTCCATGGCGCCATTTTTTTGACTTCGAAGCCCTAAAAAAATCACCGAGCCCTAAAAGATAGACCTTAAAACATGGTAGATAGCTCCTAGGTTCCGAAAAAAATATAAAACAATGGCCTCTGAAATTAGGAAGTCAAAGCGTGAATCAACAATCTATGATCGATGATCTCAAAACAAACTTTGATCCAAGAATTGGTTTCAGCCGACAAATTGATAGAAACACACCCCGTTTTTGCCCTCGTCTAGTGATTTAAGCTACAGTTGAGCTATCAATGGTCGATTCCACACTCTCATATCATATCATAATATCCGAAAAAAAAGCAAACATGACACTAATTTTACTTCATGAACATGAAATTTTTGGTGAAAAGTTAGACCAGAAATGATGAACCAGTTCATCCGCGGTGCAAGGTGATCAGCTCCAATCCTCGTGTGGAGCCCATATTGTGTGGGGGGAAGATATGGGAAGATAAGGAAAGGAATAATTTTTTTTGGGGGGAAGATGCTGATTTTGGAAGATTTTTTGGATTTTTCTGGATTTTGTTTCCCCCCTAATTTTTGAGACGCGCCTTAAATATCCTGAAATCACAAGCACAAAGGTTGAAAATAACATGAAGGAGGATCCCAACTGACGACCATTTTTCAGCTGGTGGAACAATCACCAACCTGTTACATGTTGAAAAGTATATATTCATTGACAAATATACACATAAGATCACAGAAGATCACATTGGTAATACGTGTAGTCCCTTTTTATTGTTTCTTTGTTTCCAATTTTGCTGTTCTGTACACCCACAGAACGCGGCGAACACCAGGGTAGTTGGTCCCTGGAGCATCCACTTGGAATCAGGGCCACTTATATAAATTGGTCAAAAAAAACCCTTGCTGACCAGGCCGATTTCAGCAGGATCAACCATAGTTTTGGCCATAGCTTTTACCATGGCGCCATAGTTTTGGCCATATTTCGTCATGTTGCAATAGGTTTTAACAAAAATCTGCAGATTATGTTCATTTTCTTTTGTTTTAACCGTCCAATTTTTGGGCTATCTAATTTTAAGATATTTTGACCCATACCTAGACCATCCTTAAATACCACCAACAAAAAGTAAATGTACGAAGTTTATGGACTAAACCGGGTAAACACCATTTGACAGTTACAAACGGAGTTTACTTGGTGGCTCATCCTACTTGCCTTATACCCTGCTTTTGTTCGTGGTATAAGTAGGTTTAATGACCCACTAAGATTTGGGATTCGTGGGAGGAGCCACCAAGCATGATGGGTCAAAACCTACTATCACCATACGGTGGATGGAAGAAATCCTGCACCAGTTGATAGGTGGTAAGCATCCCATTCTAATCCCATTATTTACAGTGTTTCATAGGTGCCTTTCATAGTTCCCGACTGGTGCAGGATTTCGCTGGCCCATCCACAGTATGACTGACTGGAAAGTCGCCATTTTTCCCAGCTTTGACATCCGTGTCTCCAAATCATCCGGATATCAGGCTTTTGACCCACCAAGTATTTTTACTCCACCACTTATCCATCTTTAGGTAATTACTTTATATATTACTTACTATCTTACTAGAAATAACACCTCCATAAACCATAGAATTAGAATTCACCCAGGTTTTCCAGATCGCTTTCCCAACCGATATCACCATAACCCCAGAGAACTCCAAAGAATTCTGTCAGGTGTTTGGCTGAGACCTGGAGCCCCGAAACCATCGGCTGGTGGCCGCCCAATCGCTTGATCGATCTGCGCTTCGTGCCTCGCTGTTGAATGACGGAAGGTTGGTCGGGAAAACGTATGGAGAAAACGTGGGAAAAACCATGGACAAAAACGTAGGAAAACCATGGAAACACGTAGAAAAAAACATGGAAAACACCCATGGAAAAACGTCGGAAAACAGGGTTTTGAAGCATTTACTGTATAGTTGGCGGTGTGTATCCTGTTGTTTTTTACATTCTTTTTTGGGGATATCTTCGGTGCTCTGGTAGTTTCAAGCACTAGCATGTCTGCTTAGAGGGCAAATCACCATTTCAGTTGATGATGTAAATTGTATTAATAGTTAACCAATGGTTGTTTCGTTGCTTAAGGCTTAAGGCATCATTTTGTTGCTTATTCATGATAATTCTCAGTTGATCCATTGCCAAAACATCCGTAAACGGGTAAAGTCTCGCGACATCACTGGCAGACATCACTGGCGAACTATTGAGGGACCCTTCAGGTTGGTGAATGATGAGGCTTTCAGCCAGAATCTATATCAGTAATTTGCTGATCTTCTCACGAGAAGGGGGATGTTTTTTTTTTTTTTAAGGAATCCGCCCATAGTGGTGACTAAGGCAAGTTCGTCATTTGGCCAGATCAATCTCCATTTCTGATGGTATCAATATTTGTTATTTATTACCCATAGGATCCATGTATGCTATATATGGTAACATGGATCCCATCAATATATCTCCTTTATGTTAGCATATATACCAGCACCATGGATCCGTCATGGGTATGATAAACATTTATAAACATTATCCCAATTATAAATATTAAATATTTGGGTTATTTAAATGTTAAACACCATATAACACCAATATATTATCATAACATGGGTATTATGGGCTATTTAAACACCAATTACCCTCTGGTAAACTAACGTAGCTATTGAAAATGGCCATTGAAATAGTGGATTTTCCCATTAAAAATGGTGGATCTTTCCATAGTTATGAGTTTACCAGAGGGTATCCCCAATGTTTGGGTGCTTTAACCCACATAGACCCAGCATTTCTCGATGATTTTTTCCAACAAATCCAAGGAGCGCGCGGTGTGCATGTATGCCTCGATGCCGGTGGCTGGGATGCGATGGACCCCTTTTTTTATAGGTGAATTCCATGGTTTATAGGTAAATTATAACGACCTCACTACGACCTCACTGGAAATCATGGTTAGTAAGGGAAATCATCCCCAAATGGCCTTAATTCAGGTTAGTGAAATATTATAATTTACCCAGATATATAGTATTGGGAATTATATGAATATAACTATAACTAATATATATATATATACATACAAGTAAATGTAAGTAAATTATAGTAAATGTAAGTACTTGGTTACTTGGTGGCTCATCCCACGAATCCTAAGTGGGTTAGTTCACCCCAGTTACAAGATGTTGCAAGTTGATTAACCCTACTTATACCACTAACAATTCCAGGGATATCATCCCAATCTGTCACCTATTTTCGGGCAACTAATCCCATCCTGCTCAGAAAATCGAAAACTGCGTATCCCACCATCCGGTTGAAGTCTTGGAATTAAGAAATCACCAGGGATACAAAGTACCCTCTGGTAAACAAACAAAAAGCTATTGAAAATGGTGATTTATAGTTGATTTACCCATTAAAAATGGTGATTTTCCATAGTTATGTGAGTTTACCAAAGGGTAATGTAATCAATATCCCCAATTCAATGGAACCCCAAATCCCAAATCAATAGAACCACTGAAGAATTCCCCTTGGTATGGCGGCTTGTGCTTGGGTTTAGCACTTTGCGAGGTAGCAGGAGTCTGTCTAAAGTCAAATCCCTTTCCTACTGGGTTGATTCTGTTGAAATGGGGGTGGTCTACCACCGGCCCCAAGATATTCTTCCCGTTGAGTCGGACATATTGAATGACATATTGGGTCGACTTACCCAGTAGGCTGTGGAAGTACCGGCTGTGGGGGTTCTGTGGGGGTTCGGTCCAGGGCTGGCAGGATTGCAAACAAGTCACCAATCCACTGTGTCAGAATTGGACGAAGGGCAGCTTGAACCCGGATCTTTGTTATGTTGGTATCATTTAATCGCAAAAGCCACGGTTTCGTTTCAACTTTCCCTTAAAGCAACCCAATGTTTTGATGAGGTTTGGATCACCAATCGCGGCAAGCGCATCTGGAGAGAACATGCAGGTTCGGTTGCTGTTGCTGCGGGTGCCAATCTGGCTTGATGTAATACCCTTTGGTAATTTAACATAGCTATGGAAAGATCCACCATGATTAATGGGAAAATCCACTATGTCTATGGTCATTTTCAATAGCTATTTTGACATAACCAGGGGGTAGCATCTTGGAACTGGCTGGCAGACTGGAAAACCTTCATCTCCTTGATCTTGTGAGGTGTTTTTCGGTCGATACTCATGACTGTGATGACTCATCGCTTTTTCTGTGATGACGATGGATGACTCATCGTCGCTGTCTCCGTTCCATTCAGTCAATGGATTGGTTTAAGGGAAAAAATACAGGAAAACCCCATGATCTTAATGGGAAACTCTATGGTTTCCGGTGAAGATTTTCCCGTGAAAACCAATCCATTGATTCAGCTGCCGCACAGGAAAGGACTTGAAGGGCCATGGTTTCGGCTGCCATGGAGAACCTCTGAAACAAGAAATGGTGCAGACCTTGACTCAGTGCCACCAGTTGTGTGAGGCGCGAAACGCAGGGATTGCGACTATCATATGGGTGTTTCGTCGATATTTAGGGGTCCTCATTGCATTGAATGGTTAATATATGTTAATATTATATTGATGGTGATTTTGAACAGTATACGAACTATTCTTTGAACAGTAATTATTGATAATATTTGATGATTAGTGACCATTGATATTGATAGTAACCATGATAATTAGTAGTGAACGGTTCATGATCACTGTTCACCCATACTAGTAGATAGTAAGTAATGAGGATTAATTAACATGGTTCCAGTATGTTCCAATTAAATAATCACTCATTCTGTTCCATTAAGATAGTCATTTTCGGGGGATACCCGGATGCCCATGGGATGCCTGATCAGCTGGAAGAATTGGAAGATATTTGAAGTTTGAGGTGCTAAAAAATGCCATCACATCATATAACACCATAAACATTCAATAGCATTAATTACTGAAACATCACAATTGCAAGATATGTGACATTTGATTATCCATAGCATCACATAATATCCTAGCTGTACAAATTATAGCGAGGACAAACGAGGCAACGAGGCAGGTTGCAGGAATTTTCACGAGGTCAACCTTTGATTTGGTTCTCAAAATTAGCCAATCTTGACAAGGTAGCCTTGCACGGCATAGGTTCTGTTGCGTGTTTGGACTTGGTTAGAAAACTTTTTCGGGCGCCAAACAAGTGACACTTTCCATCGCTACAGGTCAGGCTGCAAGGAAGGAAAGACACAAGAATCCGTTGTGGACAAGTTTTTCAGCAAGCACATCCTAGTTTGGCAGCCGCAGCCGGTGAAGAAATGAACATGGAGCGCAACGCCACGCGGTTTCCGCTGAGCATTTTAATATAGATGGTGATTTCGGTTGCAGGCATGACATATGTGACATACCCATAGGATCCATGTATGCTATATATGGTAACATGGATCCCATCAATATATCCCCTTTATGTTAGGATATATATACCAGCACCATGGATCCTATGGGATATGTGACATAGGCATGACTTCCTGGGTTCCTGCCATGGGGGAAAGCGGATGTTCGGTGCCATCAGGTGACCGGTGGCTGCAACTATGCCTTCTATGGCCAGAGCATCTCGATGTTTTGATCGTTGGATGTTGGAGAAAATTTGGTGCTAAAAAGCCATCAAGAATAGGGGGCTAAGGTTTTTTCACAGTTTGAACATGTTGGTTGAACCATGAAAGATTCGGGTTTTTCAGCAACACTTAAATAGTGATTCAAGCATCAACGATAGTGGATTTTTAGCATCAAAGATGGTGATCATAGTGATTTACCTTTCCGTAATCAAACATGGCTGGCTTGGAAATCCCATTATATAAACAACAGACATCTATAATTCAATGGGAACATCCATGGGGAATTTTCCATGAATTTTCGCCATGTATTTTCCGGTGACCTGGATGAGTTAAACTCATGGGGGACCTGGGCCATGGGGGGACACATGGATCATCATGGATTGATGGCCGTTGATCCTCGCGTCATTGAAATTCAGCCAGGGACATGTCGTTATTTTCGGTGGCGGAACAAGCAACTCGAATTTCAGGATAGCTCTGTATCCCATTTTGAGATATTTTGAGTATACTCACAATTGTCACCTTTCATTTACATACTTCACATCTAATTTCTAAGCTGTGTCCAGACTTTTCGTGACCCATCATTTTTTTCTAACAGATGAAAGAGTTTGACCCAGTAGCCCAGTAGCCCCCATGTCGATCTCCAACACCGAGACGGCACTGCAAGCTGCGTTCTCTACTCGCAGTGTCCGGAGCGTCAAGTGCAGGTCGGTTCTGGGATTTCACCATGGGGCCAAATCGGGATCCAACAAGATTTAACCATCAAACACGGGGGTCAAGCAACAATATACCGGCAGCGAAGCATCAAAATGACCTGATACACATAGAGATTGTTCCCTCCGAATATATCCATACATTACATCCATATGGGAATGGTATATGTCATCCATGGTATTTTGACCCATCGTGATCAGTCCATGGTAATGGTGTGTCTTTTTCTGGGTTGTGTGATCAACCATCCCGGACCATCCACTGGATTCAATAGCCCCATTGTTTGATGATGATACCGTGGTTGTACTATGTTATACATGGTGGCGAACTACCCACGGCTCGTAAGTGGGTTATAAGCCCAATTATAAGTGGACTAACCCTACTTATCCCATTTATAACTGGGGTTATAACCCACTTACTATTCGTGGGTAGTGAGCCACCAAGTACTCCCCTTTTTCAATGAAACTATACGGGGATTGTCATAATCCATGCATTGGCAATCCCCGTCTACCAATCATCATGGCCATGGGATTCTTCTGCTCATTCTTTGACTGCTCGAACATGGTCGTCAATGATGAACCAAGTGGTGGATAGTCAGCGCCGAACTGGCGCCTTTGTTCCAGAATTGGTTTAGGGATGTTTTTTTTTTCGGGGACATTTTACAGCAAGGCCCGCCTTATATTCCATGGTCTCCAGTCATTGTCAACCCTTGAGATTGAATTCGAAACAAAAAGCACCCAATTCGTCAACGTCTCGGAAAAACCAACGCCTCTTTGTGGGTCATTTGAGGGTTGGGGTTGTATTTTCGGGGACGATTCTTCCGGAGTGCAGACCTCAACGAAAGGCTCAAAGTGTTGAAGAAGACTCCGAGTTCGTTCGCGTTACCTGTGGCGAGGAGATACCCAAATCGCTCAGATTGTGGCAGGAAATATACAGCTATCCTCCGTGAGAGTCATTGGTGTTGAGATGTTGAGTTCATTCCGATTTTTTGTGATGTGTTGTTCATGTTCTCCTTTCTTTGCTCGCACTTCATGGCAAAAAGTAGTGGTGCTTCCGGCAGCAATTAACCTTGAAGAGGAGATTGGTACGGAACCACTAATTGATTGTGACAATCCGAAAACCATGAACCATACCTGCAAGCTTGCCATTTGGTGGTCAATATCTTATATATTTGCCCGTCGTTAGCGAAGTTGGTTTATAGCTATAGTTGAACTAGTGTTTCTGGTGGTGGTTATAGTATTATAGCATGTTACAATATGTTATAATCACATATTATAACCATATATATATATATAACCATAGTTAGATGGGGTTATAAACCATTAAAACATACCCAGGGGGGCACCACTTGTACAGTTTTTTTTCAATAAAACAGTGGGCTTCATCGTTGCTTTCACCAGATCTCCCGTAAAAGACGAGGAGATCCCGCCCTATGAGCAGGGAGCTTTGAGGACTCTGTATCTCAGGCCCTGATTTGCGAATCTGACAGAGCTCTGTCTATTGGACCAAACGTCATGTATATTTCTGTTGACAATCACCTAGATGCTCCATGTATGGCATATTTACCTACATTTACCCCAAAAATAGCCCAAATGTAGGTAAATATTCCATACATGGAGCATCTGGGTCATAGATTAATGGGGCTAATGATGGCTAATGATGAATTAATTAATCTGAATTCTGAATTAATGATGAATTAATGATAAGTGATGACGGCGAGAAGTCCGAGAAGTCATGACAGTCGTGTTCCGTGAATGATCATGATATGGCGGATGCATGTGGTATGTTGCATGATAAGAACATTTGCCCAGTTTCCCACAAGAAGCAGATGCCATCAGCATCATGAAGCACTGTGGGGACTGGGAGCCCATAATTTGATGGATTTCATCAACATTTGTTCAAACCCATTGTCCTTACCCTTTGCTTATTTAAACACAGCTGTGGAAAATGGTCCGTTTATAGATTATCTCTCATGAATCTATCACCCATGACGGATCCATGGTGCTGCTATATATGGTGCTCCATGGATCCCATCAATAAAAACCCCCAATCAATGTTAGCATTAATATAACAGCACCATGGATCCGTCATGGGTCATGATTTACCTATTAGAAATGGTGGATCTTTCTATGGCTACAGATAGGTTTTTTATAAGTGTTGAACTTGCAGAAGTCAGGGCACAGACTCTCGGAAGGTCCCATGGTATGCAGTAGGAATGACTTGATGGCCGCCACTCAAAATGAGAAAGAACTATATTTATTTTCCACCTTGAACACATATTGAACATTATTGAGTTTACCCTCTGGTAAATTAACATAGACCCTGAAAATAGGCTAGTTTTAATGGAAACTAATCTTCCAACCCCTATCTGCCAGGGTCTATGTTAATTTACCAGAGGGTATATAGCTTTGGAATTTTGGAAGAGGATGTTCCATGATTTTCCTGGTGTTTTTTCCTGGTCATTTTCAGGTTCCAAAACAACAAACCAACGGCGGTGGTGCCAGGCCGGCGACGGGCACGGACCGCAGCGCGATGGTCAAGAACTGTCGGCAGGACTGCCGCAATCAGACAGGCGAGGGAGATGGAGACAGCTTTGGAGACCAGCGCGCTGCTGGAAGGGTTTGGAGGGAATCCTGGCAATGGATGTCATTGATTAATGGAAATGACTAGAAATGACTCATTGATCTATAGGAAAATCATTGATTAATTGATTAAGATAATTAATATTGATTAGAATAATATGTGGATATTCTGGGAATCTTCTAATAATTTGCTGAGAATGATGGGAATGGATTAATGGATGTTCATGTTTTTATTGATGGGCATGACAATGCTTTGCTGGGAATTCTGGGAATGGTTCCATGAGATATTGTGGTATTATCGGAATGTTTGGGAATTGTTTTATAGGATGTTACGTATCTATCTGTAACCAAAGATGCTGGATATCATGGAAATTCTCATGGGACATTCCACGCTTCCAATATGTTTGACATGGTTTGACGTAGCTGGCCCCCATTGTTCGACCATCCCCAGCCTTTGTTCGGTTGTAAGAATCCCCAGGTCTACTATTGGGTCAAGCACATTAGAACATGCTGAGCTTGTGCACACTTGGGGATGGGTCAAAACCCTGGCACCTAGTGAACATCAAAATAGCTGGTAAATGGATGTTCATCCCCCTAAAAATGGTATTAATAGGTATTGATCCATACCCACTTTGGCTGAACACAGACTTGCTTTTCCTCAAGACAATAGCTCCATATAGCTCCGATTTCAACCAGACCTGAAGGTGACTAGTCTGTCTTGAGGCTTGCTGGTTTCAACCAGATTTGTCGGTTTGACCATATTTTCCTAGAAGATGACCATCCGCCATGGGCCCCATGGGCCCCATGTGCCCCATGGGCCCCATGGACTTGACCTCGCCCCAACATGATATGAACATGCTACAAGATGGGGACCCCTACATAGATCAACATGATCAACTACAATGGTAACAGTTGGTTTTCAAATTCCATCAACTACACTGTTACCACTTTTTTAAACCCGAGTCAACCATAAATCATATATGTTATGTTCACCAACGTAGCTATCATAAATCACTGAATGAAATCCCAATTTTTGGTGAGTGAAATCCTCATTTTCCTAGAGTTCAATATGTTAAATCTCCATATTCTTGGTGAAATCCATGTCCCTATGGTTAAAACCTATGGTTTTCCTATGGAAAGTTGGTGAATTCACCATAGGATATTATCCATAGGAATATCCACCATAGGAAATCCACCTATGGTTAATATCTTAGGTGAAATCCACCAGTTTTCACTTCTGCGTGGCCCCGTTGATCGGGCACCACGGGCGCTTTCGGCACGAGGCGTCTTGGTGCAGTGCAACGCCTTCGCCATCCTGCACTCGCTGGACGGGCTGACCCACTCGGCACCGACCTCGTGGGGCCCATGGGGATGGCAGAGGCTTTTTATGGTGATTTTCTGGTGGTTCTATGGTGGTTTTAGGGTGGCAAAAAAATGATTTCTTCATGGTTTTGTGGTGGTTTTGTGATATATCTGTTTGAACATGGGGTACATGTATACCCCTCCCCATTTAATCCCATTTTACGGCTATCGACATCAAATGATTGAGAACATATGTGGAAAAACACGCCTTGGAAAATCAACGTGGCTGGAAAATCCCCCCGAACTAAATGGAGGTCTTCCTGGTGAAAATCATCCATAAATGGGGTAATTCCTTCGGAGGTTTGCCTTATTTGCTGAAGCATCTACCCAATATAGAATGACTATATCTAGCTATGGATGAAGTAACTCGCAAACTACTGCATGTTATAGCTATAGGTATGACTATAGTCCCATCCTACAATCTAGCTATGATGCTATGGATGAAGTGATTGAACTTTATCAAATCCACCTGGAAGCTGTTTTCCTAGGGTTTCTTGAGAAAGGGTTGAAGGATGTTGAAGGGTCATAGGACGACCACTGGGGATCCAGCTATCATCCACCCACCCTGAGGCCGATCAAAGCTGCGTGATCTTTGGGCCGTCTGGCTTGAGGAGCCGGACGATGGCTGCAGGGAACGATTTTGTGACTGTCTTTTGAGGCATTCCACCCAGATTTCAGGGCTTTCAGGGCTCACTGTTACCCTCTGGTAATTTAAGATAGCTACAGAAAATCACCATTTTTGATAGGTAAACCATCTATAAATGGGCCATTTTCCATAGCTATGTTAGTTTACCAGAGAGTACACCATCTTTGCTTTGCTGAACTCTTAACAACCTCGGCCGTTTCCTGTTCAACAAAGTTTTGCAGCCGGTTTGCCACCCCCAAAACATCGCCAAAGTCGCACATGTTCGGTGGGTTTTGAATCATAAATCTATAACAGCCTTAAACTTTAGTAATCAAACGTGGCGACTGAAAATCCGCCATCTATAGATGATTTAAACAGCAAACTAAAGCTGCATTTAGTTCGGGAATTCCATAATTCCCATGTTCCTATCCTTCTCCCGTTGCAACCTCCATGTTCTCTCCAGGATGGGCGGGGACCCTGGGGCTGGCGAATGGAAGAAGTGGGAGACCCCAGGGGTTGACCTCAAGCCCGTTGGCCATTGAAACTAACATGAACCATATGGTTTTCTGGGTCAAATTACCTGCAGTACCCCAACAATTGGATGGTGAAAACTCTATGGTTTTCTAGGTCTTAATGTTTGACCATACCCATATGGATATGGGGATATAGTGGATATACCAGCATATGAACAACCAACAAAAAGACCAATTTACAATGATGTGTGTGAAAATGGTGGATTTACCCATATTTACACCCAAAAAAATGGTCACTTCACTGGGGTAAATGATGTCACTTAAACCATTTCTGCTAGACCATCGTGGATTTTCATGGATCCAGACCCTACCCAGGACGGATCCAAAGGGTGCTGGTATATTAATGCTAACATTGATTGGTTTTTTTTGTTGATGGGATCCATGGAGCACCATATATAGCAGCACCATGGATCCGTCATGGGTTATGATTCAACTAGTGAATCATCATTTTCCAAATTTCACATAGCCGAAAAACGGGGAATTATGATACCACCTGTTTATAGAATTTATAGTGAAAAACCATGTCAACAGGTCAATATCTTTGTGTTGCGAAACAAAACAAGTCGTAGAAGCTACGCGGATGAAAAGTCAAAAGGCTACGGATCATGGGGTCGAAGCTATCAATGATCAGTCGTGTAAAAACCTGCTGCTTCTCCACTCCTCTGTCGACAAATCTTCAGTTTCGTCCGACTGTCCGAAACTGGGAAAAAACACTGGCTAAATTCTTCCAAGAAGCTTGCTTCATTTCCTCTGCGCTTGCTGACATGTTCTTCCTTCATTGAATTAAAGTACCTCAGCCCCTTGAATCTTTCCATCTTCATCTGGTAAGTCGAGGGTCCAGGGTCCAACCTTCATGGAATGATACTCCCCATCAATAGACGCCACAAGCCGATCTAGGCGGGAACTAGAACTTGAGTAGATCAAACATCATCAAAGAACCTGGTTGGTGGTTTGGAACATGAATTGTATTTTCCATTTCATATATGGCATCCTTCCCATTGACGAACTCATATTTTTCAGAGGGGTAGGTCAACCACCAACCAGCTTCAGTTGGGATAAAAACCCGGCCCAACTCTGGCTATACCCAGTTGGGATACGTCCACTTGCCCCCAAAAAAACTCCTATGACGTGCTGACTCCATCAGCAATTCCTACAATTATATGTAGTATATATACCTACATTTGGATAAATGATAATTGATATGAAAAAATCTGGGGTCAAATTGTTGGTATACCTATATGCTTAGATCATCTTAGATCCATGGAGCGATCTTCCATGGCATCTGAGGATTCCCGTGAAGGTGGGCAAAGTCGTTGGCATCCCCGACGTGGTGGGCTTCGAAGGCAGTTGCTTCGCGCGGCACCTCGCCAGACCCGACAGGAGCGGCACCTTTGGCACTTGGACGGGGGATGGTCGACCGAGACCACCAAAGATCCCCAATTTTAATGGGTACCCTCTGGTAAACTAACATAGCTATGGAAAGATCCACTATTTTTAATGGGAAAATCCATTATAAAGGCCGTTTTCAATAGCTATGTTAGTTTGCCAGAGGGCAAGATGATGAACAATGGTGGAATATTGAGGAATGAAATTCATGGCTGCAAGATGCTGCAAGTGTCCATAGTGATCCATGCGGATGCAGCCACGACACAATGATTTTTCTGGAGCAAGTCTTTTTTGCCCAGTGCCCACTTTTTTTGACCAGTGACTAGTAGAATTACAGTGGCTTGTTGCAGCTGGAGCTGTTCATAGGATCGTTTTTTAACGTTTTAGAATCGGAAACGTCACAGATCTGATGGCATCTGATGGCTTTTCGGAGCATCAGCAGCTGAATCAGTGTATTGTGCATCATTGTGCATGGCCCTGGAGGAAGCACATGGGAGTTTCTGGATCACTTTGGGAGCATTCTGCCGTCAAGGACTGCTCAGGCGCGAGCTGACATGGCAGCAGGTCAGTTATGGTCAGCTTGGTGGTTTATAGTTTATACGAACTATATTAAACTATAGAATAAACTATAATAGATTAGAATAGTAAGAAACATGATAGTGTATATTTTCTATTTGTATACACATCATTACACATCATTTGATATATTTGGGCATGCACCATGGGACATTTCCCGCCATACGGGAGTCCCAAGTGTTTTGTTCCTTTTTTTTCGGCAGCGCAGGTTGCTTTTCGAGAGGCGTGTCCTCTTATTACTTAGAGTTTCACGGCAGCACAAAACAGGTGTGCTTGTGACTCGATTTTTTTCAGTCAACGATAGTGACTGAAAAAGATCGGCTTGCAGAACATGGTGCAACATGTTTATAGCAGCTATGTGGCTGACATAGTGCTGGTTTCATGATGTTTCACTATGTCTTTGTTGCTTTTTCATCTCGTTTGTGGGTTGCAGGTGATTTGATACCACAAGTATCGGCTTTACAGGGACTAGATGCCGCTGTACCTTGCTTGGTTGATGATGAGTTTTGGGATACTGCCATGTGGGGCCCCCGAAGGATACCTTAGTTGGTTGAACCAACTTGGTTCACTAGGCTTTTTTTGAGGGATGCTGGTTGGTGGTTTCAAACATTTTTTATTTTCCATAATATATGGGATAATATTTCCCATTGACTCATTGACTTTCATATTTTTCAAGATGGTTGAAACCACCAACCAGGATATAATCTATAGTTTATGGGGTTGACTCGGGTTGACCAACAGACATCACATGCGGCCCCAGCTGTCTCAGGTTTCCGAATCTTGTGACCTTGTTCACTCAGATCATAGGACGGCCGTGGGGATGGAAAACCGGGGCCACGTTGATTTCTATTAGTGGAGGGTAACCCCGTTTTCTCATGGGTAACTACCCCAAATCATCCACGTTTTTTTAGATCCTTTTTAGATCTTTTTAGTATTGAAACCTTTGATTAAAATGGGATTCCCCATTTCCCATAGGATCCATGTATGCTATATATGCAAACATTGGGGATATATTGATGGGATCCATGTTACCATATATAGCATACATGGATCCTATGGGTTTTAAGAAACCTGAACCGTTTGATTTCAATGGGATTCCCCCGAACCCCCCATTTTTTTGTTCTTGGACGGTGTTGTTTTTCAAATGGTCAACTCGGGACTTAGCTGCGACCCTTTGGCATGGGACTTACCCGGCCTGGTTATGTCAAAATAGCTATTGAAAATGGTCATTTATAGTGGATTTACCCATTAAACATGGTGATTTTCCATAGCTATGTAAACGTTTACCAGAGGGTAAGTCTGATTCAACATTCAAGATCCAAGGTTCCGTCTTCTTTGGTCGATGCTTTCCATTGTGTTCACAACTTTTCATAACTTTCTCCTGTTTCATATCAGGTCAGAGTTTCTTTGCATCCCCATACCTAAACATGTTTTTTTTTGTGCACTAGGCATTTCGAGGTGGTAGATGTTAAACATTGTACTATCATGTACTATCTGCTTTTGTTTCGCCAGGTTTCATCACTTATACATCTTTTTGTTGCTCCAACTATCCCATGGTTTGAAGTGTCAGATTTACAGCCGTATATCCGTGATAAAAATCACTGCAACATTCTGGTTAAATTAGTTAAAACTGCGATGGTTTGATACAAATGACAATCTCATGAGTCCCAGAAAGGCGTTGGATTTTGACCAATCCCTTTCAAAGATGATAAATATGGTAACTGGGAACCCATTGGTTGATATTCACCACTTCCAATTCTTTATCATCACCCAAACTTCCAATATCTTTGCATGTCAGCCATTTCATCTCCCCACGATATGACGTGGTAATCCACAATAAACACAGTCATAGGCCTCAATTGTCCGAGCTGTTCACGCACACAAAAAATAAACAAAGCACCACGAACGATCAAGATCAGAAGTTGTGTATTCTTGGTTCTTATCACATTTTAATACATGTCATCTATATATTATATTGTGATAATATTATTCACATGATATTTATATACGTACATGACATACTCTACATTAATCTGAGTATATATATACATATAGCAAGTTGTATATACATATTTAGCAACTTACTAAATGTTATATACATACTAAGCATATGCATGTAAGTAAATAAACACGTATCTCTCTACAATATATACATCATATACATCCCTACCATATATACTGTATACCTTGTCATATCATATACATTTACATATATATATATATGTATAGACACACATACTACCAACTGGTTGTATCTTATACTAGCAACTACTTCTATCATATGTGTTCTGTATTTCACACTAGTCATATATGTATACCTTATCAAGATAAGTTATGTTATAGCTTACAGATGCTATACTCATATACTATGAAATTTATAGATGTTATAGGTCTATAATTTGCATAATATCTACACATTTATAAGATGTTATAATACATATATACAATATATATATAATACATATAAATCATACATAGATATATATATATATTATGTACACCTTAATATATTTATAACTTACGTTTAACATCTACAAAGTCGTCCTCTCCGACTCTTGTCGTTTCGTCGGCGAGGCGTCTTCGCCTTCCTGGAGGTGGTCCGGCGGCGCCGCGACGCCGCGCCCACGCGGGTGGCCTTCAGCGGGAAGCCGGAGATTGTGATGGCCGGGACGCGTGGGAGCGTGGCGGGCGGGGGGACATGGGATATTATATAACCATGGCTTGGGAAGATATAACCATGGCTTGGGAAGTGTAGGATGTTTTTTTGACAATTGTTTTTTTGTCATGGGATATTCAACAGAAAGGGAATGATTAATCTGATCCCTTGCCGGTTCATATTGAACAGAAAGCATGACATCAGGGGGATGGGATACCCTGGTGAAAACTAAAAACATAAGAGTCACAAAATGGCAGAGTCACTGGATGTTCATCCTCCCAAATATGGTATACTTAAGGTGTTGGGGCCCCCATTCCCATATAATTTATGTACACAATATAGATCAATATAGTTTGTTTCATGCTATCATGAGTAGTTACAATGAGATCTGGGAAAATTATAACGACCTCACTGTTCTCCCTCACTGGAAATCATAGTTAGTAAGGGGAATCATCTCAAAATGGCCGAACTATTCAGGTTAGTGAAATATTATAATTTACCCAGATGAGATGACTTATATGAATCACTAGCACCTGACTGTGATAGAATATGACAGTTTTTTTGATCGTTTCAAAACATGGTAGGAACATCTTTGGATATCCGATTTTTTATCTACAGGATGATTATATATATATATACATACCCATAGGATCCATGGTGATGGTATATATGCTAACATAAAGGGGGTATATTGATGGGATCCATGTTACCATTAATATAGCAGCACCATGGTTCCGTCATGGGACATCATTTTTGGATAAGATCTACTTTGGAAAACTACCCTTAAAAATGGCCGTAATTCAGCTTAGCGAGGTATTATCATTTATCCAGATATATGATCCAGATATAGATCTATGCTGCGACACCATATGGGCAAGTTTGGGGGCCACAAGTCTTGTGATGCTCACCAAGAAGGTGCCCCATGGGTAGACTGCTCTAAGATTATTTACAAAAAAAAACATATGTAATATGAAAGATGTGTAGATTGCCATCACTCTATATGGTATCTGTATATATATATTGTCTATGATATATATGTTTCATATTCTATTACCACATGATCACATATATATATATATATATATCATAGGCAATAGATATACATTTCTTTAGATATCATAAGATATATCAATCGCGATTATGATTATGTAAATGTATGATAATGTATGATTATTAGGAAAACAAACACACATATATATATATATATATCAGTACCCTGTGGTAAATTAACAGTTGGACCCTGAAAATTTAGCCGAGTTTGAATGGAAACTCATTTTCCAATCCCGATGACTGCCAGGGTCGAACTGTTAATTTACCAGAGGGTACTATGACTCTCCTGGTGGATCCTAGCGAATCATCGTTCCGAAAAACGCAGGCCATTGTGCGCGATCCGGCGAATCCTTCAGGCCTTGCTTTTCGCGACATGGTGCGAATTTCGGGGCATTCGTGTGGAGGTTATAAAACGATGTAGCAGCATGGTCACATCACCCATGACGGATCCATGGTGCTGCTATATATGATAACATAAAGGGGGTATATTGATGGGATCCATGTTACCATATATAGCATACATGGATCCTATGGGTCATGGTAAATGGGAACAACATATAGTAAATCATAGTAAAACTGGATCTTCTAGGGAAATTGTTGTGGAATCACTGAAATGAATATAGATTATGGCATAGATTAAAAGCCTATCGCTTTGTTGAACATGGAACAAAAAAAACGGTGAGAGTTGATTATAGGCCCCAGTTCCTGCCAGTTCCTCGGTTATAGTACTGTTATCCCATGTAAGATTGGGCAAACTATGGTGGTCACTAACCACATTAACTGGAATCCTCCAATTAGTGACCACCATAGTTTGGCAACAATTAACCACAATTAACCACAATTAACCACAATTAACCACAATTTTCACCACAATTAACCACAATTTTCACCACAATTAACCGCAATTAACCACTATGGTGGTCACTAACCACACCACAATTCCTAGAATTCTCCAAGTAGTCGAGGAATTTGCTCGGTTTTCAATCCACCGATTCGCCATGACCATTTTTGGGCACAGGATGGTGCCCCCCAATGATGTTTGTTGGTATTTATAACTACATCTAAATATCATTATTTGCGTATCATACACAACATTGTTATAACATGTTATAACATATATAGTTATGTTCACCAACTTAGCGATTCCGAACTGGGGCCCCATCCTGCAATTGCAAGTTTGGTTTCTTTGGAACGCTCCCAGCACCTGCAGTGACAGTCCACCAGTCAACCTGCCAGGCTTTGATGAAAAAGAAACTGTCCCTTGGATCCCTTCAGCGGACAGGATTCGGAAGTGGGTCAAGACCAAACATGGTAACAGTTCCTATTGGCTATATAACAGTGTTTCAGACTGGTTAATACTGATGAATGATTAGTTAATGTTGTCAATGCGTAGCAATGCTTCAGGCTGCCAATGGGTAACTTCATGGTTAATGTTAATCATGTCTAGCTGAATTCTGACCTCTATTATACGTCACCATGAGACAATGGTTTGTAGGCGATGAGCCCGCCCATGAGTGGCATTATTTCAGCTATCAGGATGGTGACATATCAGCCATATTTAATTCAGCCAGATACGTGCCATGGTATACCCATTCCCTCGGGGGATGGTCATCGATCTATTGATCCATTGTGGGATGACCACGTGCCACCTTTTGACCACGTTCAGACCACGTTTTGACCAGATTGCACAGAAATTCTGGTAGTCAGCGCCAGATTGCCAGAGGCTACTTGTTTTTTTTTACCAGAATAGTTGATCTTGGGCTCTGAATAAGGATGGAATTTGTTTGGCATTGTTGGTATCAGCATATACAGTACCAGCTCGTTGGGTGTAGCTGGTGACCACCTGCCACAAAACTCAGAGGTCCTGTGACGATTCAGAAAATTTCCGGAAATGGTAGTCTGGGTTTTTCAAGAAATGGTGGTATACCCAAGTTAAGGCAATTTTATGCAAATTTTATGGGGAAAATGACAATTTAACAGCGGACATTTTTGGGCTTCCCCTAAATTTTCGCACAACTTCAATAGGGAAGGATGGAGATCCATGAACAGAGAAGGTCATTCACTGGTGGTCACGGCGCTCGGGGTTCCGTGGATCTCCTTGTTGAACATACTGTCAGTGATAGGCCACTACTTTTGGCAATCATGTTCCATTTTCTTGGTCGCTTGCAGTATATCATATCTCTTAGTTTTGTTTTTTTCCTATTGTTTTCTTCTTCTTTCTTGGTTACCATGGGTCATCCTCACCATTTTCTCGCCCCACTTGAGGCCTTCTTGCATTTTCTGAAGTCTTGTTGGGCCTGGGTCTCAAAGAAGGACCGACCTCCAGGAGCGTGGGTGACAACAGAAGCAACAAAGATTGGGTACTCCATGGTACCCCCTACACGGCATGCTGTTCTTAGACGGGCAGAATATCAATGGATTGGTTTAAGGGAAAATTTACAGGAAACCCCTATATTTAATGGTAAAAACCATGGTTTCCTGTAAATTTCCCCTTAAACCAATCCAATGAGAATATCTTGTTGTCAGGGCCTTCGCTTTTCACACAAGCCAACTTGTGTTGCCTATTTCGGATGACCAGCCCAAACCAACAGTTAGGATCATGACGGTGTTTCACAACCAGACCCAACTCTTGGGCAGTCCTGGCCCATTGAACTCCGGGAAAGGGTTAGGTTCTTAGAGATCAATTTCTTTCCCGGGGTTTTGATTCATACAGGATGGTGCCCCCCAATTATGGTTGTTGGTATTTATAACATTTTATAACCCCATCTAAACATAGTTATTTGATGTTATTTGCGTATCATACACAACATATTGCTATAACATAGTTTTGTGCACCAACTTAGCGAGCTAACGAACTGGGGCCCCATCCAGCCATGTTTTCCATGTTTCCCCATCGACTTTCCCGGGAAGCGTTCCTCGTTCCGAGGCTCTCCGGGAACGACACGAAACGACGGCCAAAGATGTCTTTGAGATGTCCTCCGATGAGGAGGTTCTGATCATGGACTTACTGTTGTGCGGTGCGTTAAACGCAGGGAATTTTTTCGGGAATGATGAATCACTGGCTAACAATAATCATCCCAGTACCCCCCAGCAACCCATCCATTCCCTACGCACCAGTAATTGGATAGATGAAGGTGATGATGGTTTATAGCTGCAAAATTATGGATCCTTATCGATCAATGGAAAATCAAGCAGTGGCTCATCAGTGGTGAATGTGAGCGGCTCGGAGTCCGGAGCTAGGCGCATTCGAATTCCCAAGAAGAAATGGGGAGCCAGGAAGAGCTACGCAGGTTTCCAATGGTTTCCAACCACATGATAGTAATTCTGGTTGGTGGTTTCAAACATTTCTTATTTTCCATAATATATGGGATAATCCTTCCCATTGACTAATTCAACATGGTTAAAACCACCAACCAGAATTTATGCCCTGAAAGCGGGAGGGATAAAACACCGGCAGTTGAGGACTTTTCGGATATTTTCCTAAAGTTTGAGCCGAGAATATCCCATGGCCATCCATGGCCACTGGTCCAGACTTGCTGAAGGGCACCATTTGATGGACAGAAAGGGGCAAAATATGAGGTTTCGAACCGACTTGATGGGAAGGTTTAGGGTTCCCTATCTTGGGTCCAAGTTTGGTGATCTTTGGACTTCACTATCCAACTTTGATCAACTTTGGTAATTTTGGACTGGCTTTTGCTGCCAACTCATGTGTGCCGCAGCAAAAACTCGCATGAAAGAAACTTGTACATATACTTCATTCAATCTGACTGTTCCCAGCAATAGTGAACTCTGAGATCGTAAATACCAAAGAAGCCCACCACAAATCTACAACAGTCGAGCAAACTTGAGCAACAAATGTAAGGCCAGGCTGTAAAAATGACTGGATGACTGGAAAATGATGGCAAGTTGTTTCAGGACGAGAATATCTAACATCCCACCGCAGCGAGGTTTCTTTTTTGTGGCTCCCATTATTCACCAACTGGTATGGGTCAAACAATTTACATCATGAGACAAACAATAATATTTTTTTCAGTACCCAATTTTACAAGACATTATAACCTGGTTGGCAGTTTCAAGTGTTTTTTTTTACTGTTCACCTATAGAACATGGATGATTATCCCCAATGATGAAAAACATCGAACATCATCGAACAGTATTCTTTGCGAGCTTTCTCAACCACCAAATATATAGGTATATTCATGTTGATCCCATTTTCAGTGATCAAGTATGGGACTAGCCGACCAAAATGGGGATTAGTCACCAAGCATTTTTCCATTCGCAAACGTTCAGCCAGGAGGAAGGAGAAACGGTAGCCTTCAGGGTGTCTCGGCGCCGTGATCTGTTGTTTTTGGATTTTTTGGGGATCTGCCACGTGAAGTTGCAATTATTCATGCATTTTTTTTGGGGTTCTCATGGATTTTCATAGATTTTCCAGTATACCCTCTGGTAATTTAACATAGCTATGGAAAATCACCATGATTAATGGGAAAATCCACTATTTCAATGGTCATTTTCAATAGCAAACTGTTAGTCATTACCAGAGGGTAAACCCTTCCATTTTGGGGTAGCCACCATGACTTTTCGGAAACTCCTCCCGCCTCAGGATCAGCTGACGATGGAGTGCCCTGGAGCATGGCCAGCTGTTTTTTTTTTTTAATGGGGGTACCCCAAATGGATGGTTTATTTCATGGAAAATCCGAACATCAAAAGGATGATAACTGGGGGTGTCTCTCATGATTTTAGGACACAAAAATTGATGTAGTTCCTTGATTTACCGAGTTGTAACCTGGTAATTGTCCAGAGTTATGTCAGTTTAGGAGAGGGTAGATAGCCTGCAATCAATCAAGAGGATATGAAAAGCCATAGGTTTTAATAGGAAAAATGATCTACAAGCTGAGATTATGCTGGGTTTTTGATATTTGTTTTGGTTTAGGGAATGCACCGTTGGTTGTAACTAGGGATCTCACAACTAAAAGTAAGAATTTGAAGCCATTGAGGATGTTCGGGAAAACTGTATGGCTATGGGTACTTCGAGCACGACACCACTGGATGGAAGTGATAAGCATAATTGGGGACTGCTTTCCATTTATTGCCATGAGAAAAACCCTAGTAATGGGAACTTTGATCCCGGAACAATTACAGTAGGCAGTTAGAATTCCTGAAATGATCCTTCAAATGATTACTGGCTTCACGGCTTGGGGCGCCCCAGTTTTCACAAGCAACATCGGTAAAACGTGAATTGTAGCTGAAATATAACAGTTGAGTGAAACATGTTGTAACTCCGCAATCACTCTTGAAGTTCCTGTTCTTTCTGGGGGAAGTAGGTAAAGTATGGTAAAGTATGGTAAAGTATGGTAAAGTATGGTAAAGTATGGTACAGTATGGTAAAGTATGGTAAAGTATGGTAAAGTATGGTAAAGTATGGTAAAGTATGGTACAGTATGGTAAAGTATGGTAAAGTATGGTAAAGTATGGTAAAGTATGGTAAAGTATGGTACAGTATGGTAAAGTATGGTAAAGTATGGTACAGTATGGTAAAGTATGGTAAAGTATGGTAAAGTATGGTACAGTATGGTAAAGTATGGTAAAGTATGGTAAAGTATGGTAAAGTATGGTAAAGTATGGTAAAGTATGGTAAAGTATGGTAAAGTATGGTACAGTATGGTAAAGTATGGTAAAGTATGGTA